GTGTTTGTTCAGCAGGAATTCTGTAAGCTCCATCTAGCTGACCACCTTCCTAAAAGCCGAGAAAATGGTAGCCTCTGTCCTGCTTTCCTTGCTGAAGCTATTGTTTCTTAACTCTGTTCCTTCGTGCAATTCCTTCAGTTGTCACAGCCAGGTCTTCTAACTGCTGGGCCATCCAGGTCAGCGGAATGGGTCTGCTTTATAAATATATTTAGTTCACCTCCTGTCAAAAACAGCCAGTTAAGTTACCTAAATAGCAACTTCACTTTCAAGCCGTTGAATCGGTTGCCATGGTAACAGATGCTCCAAGATAGGGACCTACAATTTTACATTGAATGGTGTTTGCCTCTACTTCCCACAAGCCTCACATTTAGACACTCTGGCCTCCGGAGTCTAAACGCACAAGTAAAATTCAATTTTGGTAGCCCTTTGTATTACGCTTTTAATTAAAAACTTTATATTGCCCTCGAAAATGTGACCATTACACGTGACACAGTATTTCATATCACCCTTGGTGTTTAACAAGACTTGAAAATATTGAAATAATGGTCAGAGGAACTGAGGAGAGGAGGAAAAAAGCACCAGGCTCTGTTGCCTGTTCTCCAATGGCACTTCAGATAAAATTAAAACGACACGACTCCATTGACTGGTCATTTTGAAACAAAGAACAAAAGCTTAATCACATATCTAGACAGGGCAATTAAAGTCAAGACCACAGAAATCTAATTCTCTAAGCACATCCAGGCATAATAACCACTTTTGGAAACGTAGTCTATTCTGAAAAGACTCTGTGTCTGTATAGAATCTGCACTTTTTAATTATGAGACATTTCACATAAAGAGTATGTTGGGGGCGTGGGGGCAGGGACGAATACAACAAGCCCCGGGAAGAGGACTTTCTCTGTCCACAGACTCTGAAACTGGTAGGTTTATACCTTTCTTTTGTAAGGAAGAATAGGACTTTTCCAGAAATTCATGCAAAACTGCTCTCTGAAAAGGAAGGAAGTAAAATCGAGCATGAGCGTGGCAGGACAGGAGAGACCTGTCCAAATGCCAGCTGTGTGATGAGGGTCACATTACTTACTCTCTGAACCTCCACGCCTCTTGGCGATAAAAATACCTGCCTGAAATGGATTTTGTACTTTGTAATCCAATGAGATCCCATATGGAAAACACCCACTTCAGCAAGGTCTTAATAAGGGTTCCTTCGTTTTTTGTTCTTTCATCACCATCAAGAATCCCTGTAGAAAAGCCAGGAATTCTCCCTCTCAGGGGCTCTTGCACCATGTCCATTTTCTTGGGTGGACCACAGGCGCCTCTGTGGCCAAACCTTTCCCAGAACACTAGAAACCACTTGGAGGCAAACGCCCATAATCCATAATGGAATCTCAACTTATCAGGGAGCTAGAATAAATGACCGAAGGATCCGTCAGTTTAAAGAGAATCGGTCCCTTTTTATACTTACGAAATGACAGAATGACTTCTGGGATGGTTTGGATCCTCTGAGAAGCAGACACCAAGATGGATGGAATACACAAAAAAAGGTGCAGGAGAAAACAGCCACAGAGAATGAAACAAGACCAAAGGAGACGGGCTGGACAGAAGCTCTTAGACTTCCATGCAATCCAATCTAAGGAAAGTCCATCTAGAACTTTGAAGAGTCCTCAGGCTAAAGTCAGCCCTCAGGTAGGGTCCTATGTCCCCAGAAGGGGCTCTTCTCATTCTCCCTGCCATTGTGGGTCACTGGCCAAGAGCAGCCCTTGAGAAGTGTAGCTTCCTTACTGATCAGAGAAGTGAATGTTCATGCCCACCACTGCTTCATAATTACATTTCACATTGTCTCCAGTTGTCACAACCTTAAATTAAAACTTAGACAGTTCAGAAAGGATCACAGAAACACAAAGCCAATCTGCAAATTAACAAGGTTTGTATATGAACCAAAGCCACAGACAGACAGAGCTTCTATTAGCATTGATTTTGCTCTGCCTAGAGCTCTGGCCACAGTCAGACACATGCATGGCTGAGTTGTCACCTACTCCTGAAGACACTGTCTCCCTGCCCCACCCATACCTCTACTGAAAGACGCCTTCCTCCTCTGCCAATTTGAAAGCCACCCTATACACTGAGCCTCCCCCAGAATGTGTCCCATTGCTGCCATTGTCCTCTTCCTGAACACTTCGGTTCAAAGTAGTTTGACCCCAAGGGCACGGCACTCATAAGGATTATTAGTTAAGACTTACCAATGTGATAAGTAAGTCCCCAATGCTTAGTGACCACACACAATTCAAATGTATTTTTATAGATCTAACAATCTACACAAGCCAGGACCTCTGCTTGGCCCAACCCCAGGCACTTAAGGCCCTTCTCTTCCAGCCATTGGATAGAAGAAAAAGAAAAAGAGTATCAGACTTTCTGGGAAAGTTTATGATGGGCCATCACTTCCACACATATTTGTTGACAAGAACAAATTGCATGGACACATCAAGCTTCAAGAGAGTCTGAGAAATGCAGCTTGCTTGGGAGCAAAAGTGAACAGATTTGTTAGTACCTGGCGGTCTCTGCTGAGTAGGACCCCTGCTGAGGCCTGGGATCTTGCATTAAATCTGAGTCACTATCTACCTAATGTGAGTTACATGTTTTTTAAAGGTTTCTGAATTTGGCTTCAGAACCTAACCGCAAGACTGGGAGCTGCTTGAGGCCCTTAGTAAATGTTTTCAGGTGGAAATTTTCTATGAGGGGAAAAAAAACGTGTTTTGAGTTATAAACAACCTATTTATAAGCTGACTTGTAAGAAAACTCATCTGTCCATTTAGAGCTAAATATATATGCGTGTGAGCATAGACGTATATGTTATATTTTGCAAAATCTTGAGATGATGTGAATGTGGGTACCATATAAGGTAATTGGTGAGAGGTTGCCATCCTCTAAAAAGTTTCAGTTCTTACCACCGGGTCAGAGACACGTTAGGAAATCATTGTAGGTTCACTATAGATTGGAATTGGGACTTGGGATTCTCCGTGTAGTCTATAATACTTTGTAAGTTCACTGTAGATCAACTTAACATGGTAAGTTGACTCTGCTTCTGTGGATTTTATGACAGTAAAGACTAATGAAAAACATTACCTTCCATTAACCCTCCAATGAAGCAACACACTGTTTTAGGATAAAATACTGAGACCTCATTTATTGACTTACGGTGAAATTTTGTTTTATATTCTTACACATATACAAACATGCCATTTCAAACATATGCTTGGAGAGAATGCAAAAGACGTTTGCAATCTAATCACTTAGTTGAGGCAACAAACTTTTTAAGCTCCATCAGAGTTCCCTCCTACTTTCGAAGATGACAAATGGCTTTTTATGATTCCCTAACAACATGACCCTGCAGCACAGTGTCCATTTTAGGAGGCAGACAGCAGCATGGGCTTAGAAATTAGAGCCAGAAAATTTTTAGGTCTGCTAAGAAGTTGAATAACACATTACTTATTAAAAAAAATGCACAAACTACCTTCCAGACATACTTTGCTTTATAAAATATCTCTATAACATTTATAGGCATGTGGATACAAATTATATTATGTTTGGGGGTCTGCATTTATACGCATGGAATCAGACCAGGGGTACCTTAGTGTGCGAGAAAGAGTTTTAATAAGGCAGCCTTGACTTCTTACCTCAGCTCTGCATTTACTTCTTGTGGGACCTTGAATAAGTCACCTAACTTCTTCAAGCTTTGGTCCCCACCTTTGTAACCCTGATGTTTTTATTTAATGACTTAATAAACAATCCAGGATTCCACATGACATATTTAATGGAGTCTTTTGGAGTCTCCGTTTCTACAACTAGAAAACCGTTTACAAAACTATCTACCCCTGGCTCGGTACCTATAGCACAGTGGTTACGGTGTCAGCCATATACACTGAGACTGGTGGGTTCGAACCCAGCCCGGGCCTGCTAAACAACAATGATAACCGCAACACATTATTCTTAGTAAAGCATCACAAGAATGGAGAACCATGAATCCTATGTATTCAGTTTTGATATAAGGACAATTAATGACCTAGTACACGGTAGGGGTGGGGGAAGGAGAGAGCAGAAAGGGAGAGAAAGAGGGAGGAGGGTGGGGGAAAAGAAGAGCAGAAAGAGGAAAGGAGGGGGTGGGGTCTCGGTGTGTGACACACCTTTTGGGGACAAGACACAATTGTGAGAGGGACTTTACCTAACAAATACAATCAGTGTAACCTGTTTTTTTATACTCTCAAGAAATCCCCAACAATAAAAAAAAAAATTCCCCTCCCAAAAAGTAACCAGTTGTTGTGGTGGGCACCTTAGTCCCCACTACTTGGGAGGCTGAGGCAAGAGAATCACTTAAGCTCAAGAGTTTGAGGTTGCTGTGAGCTGTGATACCGCGGCACTCTATCCAGGGCAACATAGTGAGAGTCTGTTTTTTTAAAAAAAAAAAAAATCTATCTACCCCTTTTTCATTCTAGGGTTATTTAAGGATCAAAAGAAAAAAATATATAGAAAAGAGTTTTGAAAATTGTGAAGTACAAACGTTAAGATGTTTTAAAGACAAATAATGATGTTCATAATATCTGCCACATTTGCATGTATACTTAAGTCTAAACTCAAGGGTAGATACATTGACCTTTAAGAGTCAAGTATACTAAGCCATCTAAAAATCATTTTTAAAAAGCTAAGAGTTAATTCCATGTAATAGTCAATACATTAAGGGAGTCTAAATGTTGTTGTGACGTGGATCATCTTGTACAATGCTTATGTTGGGGCTTTTAATGTGCCTGTCAACAGAATAGTGTTCATTGTACCTGACAGGTAAGCTGTTATTTCTCAACTTGTTGTTATTTCCCCCCACCTTTCCCTGTCTTATTTTCCAATGTCCTTTACATGTCCTTGTGCCCATGTGTCTCCATTATTTAGTAAGTACATGTGGTGTCTGTTTTTTCATCACTGAGATACTTCATTAAGGATAATAAGGGTCTCCAGTTTCATCCAAGTTGCTATAAAAGACATTATTTCAGAACGATACAGAGAAGATCAGCATGGCCCCTGCACAAGGATGACGTGCAAATTCGTGAAGCGTTCCAAAAAAAAAAAAAAAAGACATTATTTCATTCCTTTTTATGGCTGAGTAGTACTCTATGATGTGTGTCTGTGTGGTATTTTATCCATATTTTCGTGAAGGATTCAAAAAAAAAAAAAAAAAGACATTATTTCATTCCTTTTTATGGCTGAGTAGTACTCTATGATGTGTGTCTGTGTGGTATTTTATCCATATTTTCTTTATCCACTCATAAATTGATGGACACTTAGGTCAATTCCACATTTTCTCAGTTGTTACTTGGTCTGTGACAAACATCCGAGGACAGATATCTTTTTGATAAAATGACTTCTTTTCCTGGAATAGATATCCATTGGTGAGATTGCTGGATCAAATGAAAAGTCTACATTTATTATTTTGAGAAACCTCCCCTGTATTAACACATTGAGGGTGGACAGGAAGGTATTTACTACAAAGATAGGAGATTGCTCCTCAATTATCTGATAAATACAAATCTTTGCTCATAGTGCATTCTGGGACTGCTCCCCATTTCCAAATACAGTTAAAAGAGGAAAACTCTGACCCATCCCAAGTCAAGCCTTCAGCCTACAGAGTTCTCCTGGTAGGAGTGTCTGTCCTAGGACAGAGGGAAGGGTAGGACAGATGGGTTGATTTCTATTCTATTTCCTTTTGGGCCACTACATCTCAGTAAATGGGCTCTGTTTTAAAAGTACAGAAGTGAACAGGGCTTTAAGTCGCCCTTTTTGTTTGGTCAGGACTGAACTAAGATATTTGGAAACTCTGAGCATGGAGATCGTGGGTGCCTACTGCCATATGTAATTTTTTTTATTAAGTCATATATGCATAGATCATGAATACATTTATGCCTCTGGGGGAGTCAATGTGTTGATTATTTGTACAAATTAGAGTGCATACATCCTACTAATTAACATAACTTTCACCTCATTTACTTCATCACAGTGTTAAGACATTTGTGTTCTATACTTGATCTATTTGACTTGTACCCTTACAATATGCTCCATAAGTGTGGTCCCACCATTAACTCTGCCATATGTAATTTAAAACTTGCTTCCCAATGACATGAAACTTGATGCATACTTAGGCCCAGATATTCTGATTAGGAACTTCCTGACATATTGCCAAAAAAGCAACTTCTCTACATTTTAGTGGATTTTTGTTTGCTTTTCATTTGGGCACAGAGACTGTTTTCTCTTCATTTTACAAACTTAGCCCTCCTGTTGGGTATTCTGTCTACATACAGATTGGAAAAGACCCCAGGAAAGCTAGAGAAGAACTCTAAGTGACCTAACCAGTAGGCATCCATTTCAAATTGGAAAATAAACTAAAATAAAATCTTAAGGCTCTTCTCCAGTGCCTAACTTACTGGACACCCTTTTGGCCAAGGGGATCCCTAAAACTGAGTTGTTTAGCCATCCTCCCCATCTTAAAGATATCCTTTGTGACTCATTACCAGGCCTAAGGCTATGCAACACATACCTGCAGGTCCTCAACATACACAACCAACCACCTGAGTCTGGCCATATGTTCTACTGTTTGTCTCTTAATGACAGACTCTTATCATAACTGAAGCATTCCTTTTCACTGACTCCTGGTCTATTAAACAGAGCCTGACTCTTTCAGCCAATTGTCATCTCAAGAATCTTTAAACCCACTACAACCTATAAGCCTCTGCTTTGAGATGTCCAACCTCTGGGGCCAAGCAAAAGTATGCCTTCCACATACTGATTTGTGATTTTACCTATAATTCTGGTCTTCCTGAAATGGAAAAAAAAACAAACTGTAACACCACCACAATGAGTTCACTTACTCAAGACTCCTCGGGATGGCTCCCATCCTAGTCCTCAAATTCAGCTCAGAATAAATCTCTTCAAATTATTCTGCAGAATATGGCTCCTTTTCTGTTCAGATCTCCTGATCTATACCAACAGCAAACTTTAATTGATACATACAAAATAGGTAAAGTCTCATACGATGGGCCGTGGAAAATGATTTATTTCTGAATGTGATTGCATTACACTATGTAAGAACAAATTCTAATTGGTAATGTAAGTTCAGCCTATAAATATTTATGTTGAACGCCATTATTTAATAAGCCTCTTAACCACCCTCCTGATTTTATTGAGCCTGCTTTTAAACTTTAATTGGGTGTAATGATCAGACAATTATAAAATGCTAGCATTCTATATGCTACGAATGAGGAGTTCAATACTGTACTTTTCATTCTGGTTAGTGGGCCCTGCCACTCTGGATCCGAAATTTAACCTTTACACAGTTTCTCAGGGTTTATTGGGTGTTTATTGGCCACAGGCCTATAAACATAACATGGAATAGTTACAGTCATAGGCTGGTTATGTAATTTGATCAACCAGACCAGTAAACGTCAAAATGCAAATTGCATACAAGTTGTAACCTGTCGTTGTTTCCTGGATCAGACTTCTAAAGGTAAAATTCTCAGTATTCTTGATTCAGACCTTTTTTTTTCCTCTCTTGACTAAGAGGCAATCTTCTCCACTCTTGGTGTTTCATAGGAGGCAGGGATTTTAGAATTCTCTCGCATTTCAAGTGCCCACATCACTGCTGTTGCCTTTCTAAAAGTTGTACATGACCCTGAGTACAAAAAAAAAAAAAAACCTATGGGAAAAAACCTAGTGGAGGACAAATTCACCCAAGTGCAAATTACCTCAAGATTCAGTTTCCCTCTTTTTGTAGAACTAACAAATGAATCTTAGGAGTTGGGACAAAAAAAAACTCACCGAAGTGAGCCTTGAGAGACATTTGTGCTGGTGATGACAGCATTTTCATGGTAATTTGTTAATGTTCTTGCAAAGCCTGGGTAATTTACCTCCTAAAATCTGGCTTAATAGCTTTGTATATTTCAGGGCTTCCACAGGGAGCCACATGCAGGCTTTGGGCCTTGGTGCCTGCAGGCATGTATTGCTACCCAAAAATCTCAGGCCAGACCTCCTGGCTGCCTTTCCCTTTCTCAGCCCCACAGCACCTTTATAATCTCAAAGCCAGTGGTTGGTGTGGGATGCTGAGTAGGAGTCAAAAGAAGCAGGGAGTTTGGTGAAAGACGGGGCAGAGAACACAGTGTGAATCAAACTCTGGAAGGCAATCACCTGCCAGATACCTTTGTTGGGGGGGGGGGGGAGGGTGCAGACTATTAACAACAAAAAAAGAAAATGATGTGTAAAAGACATACATAGGTACCATTCACTTTCTTTTCTGATTACAAAATACACATTCTTATAGAGTTTTTAAAAACAGACCCCCCCCAAAAAAGGCCAAAGTCACTAATAATTCTATCTCGATATGGTGATTCAATTCCTGCCAGTTTTTCTCTAAGCAGATTTTAATTACCTTAAGGAAATTGTGTATGAATACTTTTTTGGAAAATCTGATTTTTATAGCCATAGAATATCAGTATGCACCGTAAGTTATAAAATGTTTCTTTTTTATTACTGGACAATATAGGTGACTCCTCTTATTGCATAACTATAAATAACATTGCAGTGCATGTCCTTATACAATCCTCTTGGTCTCATACTTTAATTATGTTTTTAAGATAGATTCTGAGAAGGGATGAGTGGTATTCATGGATATGAACACTTCAGCATATTTGATACATAAAATCAAGTCAAATTGCTTTGCAGAAAAACTGTAGCAATTAAATGGTGTGTTCAGCAGCAGGGCAGGACAGTCCCTTATTAATGCACTTTCACTAACGTTGACTTTTTAATCTGTGCTAATTTGACAGGTAAAATGACAGATTGAAAGTCACATTTTTAGTTTACGAGGACAAAATGCATTATGTATAGTTTGGTTTGCTCAGAAAATTAACATAGTTAGCCCATCTGCAGAGCCATAAAATGAGTCATTAGAAGCTGAAAGTGACCTCAGAGAGCTCATAACATACTGAAGGTGAAGTGATTTGCCCAGACCCCACTTTGAGATGAAAACCAATCCCAGTGTTCCTAAATAGAGATTTCTTTGGTCAAATCAAATTTGCTATAAAATGTGCAGCGAATGGAGGGGTGAAGGAGACTTTTGATTGTGGGCGGGTGAGCTGCCTTCCCCATCAGTGTTTCAGGGTCTTCACAACAGTGTCCCTGGTAGCTGCCCCTGGCTCCTGGAAGTTCTTCAACTTCCTTTTATAGAGGGAACAGTCAAGAAATAGGAATTTAAAATTTGAGACATGAAACTATAAAAGTATTAGAAGAAAGTGTAGGGAAAACACTTGAAGAAATCGGCCTGGGTGAAAATTTTATGAGGAGGAACCCTTTGGCAATTGAAGCAACATCAAAAATACACTACTGGGACCTGATCAAACTAAACGCTTCTGCACAGCCAAGAACACAGTAAGTAGAGCAAGCAGACAGCCCTCAGAATGGGAGAAGATATTTGCAGGTTATGTCTCTGACAAAGGTGTAATAACCAGAATCCACAGAGAACTCAAGAGTACTAGCAAGAAAAGAACAAGTGATCCCATCTCAGGGTGGGCAAGGGACTTGAAGAGAAACTTCTCTAAAGAAGACAGGCTCATGGCCTACAGACATATGAAAAAATGCTCACCATCCTTAATCATCAGAGAAATGCAAATCAAAACTACTTTGAGATATCATCTAACTCCAGTAAGATTAGCC